TAGAAGCGTTATGTCGCTAAATTCTGAAGTTTTTGATGTATCCCCACATAATCTTTTCTTTGTATTCAGTGAAAAAAAGAAATCAAAGAGAAATCTCGAAAAGGTGGAGGAAATGATTTGCAATTTTCTGAAGTAATCGAACTAATGGGAGGTGTGGAATGGAAAAAGAAAGGATAACTGCCTGAAGGGAAACGGACTGCACTATTGTTGTAGAGTATGTTGCTCGAAAAATGCGCCAAAAATGTACTTTGCTATGTGCAACCTGGCACCGAAATCGAAATTGGACAGAAGAAAACAGAAAGAGTCGAACGATGGATTCGGGAGTAGAATAGGGATAGAGGACGGGGATTGAAATCTCGCAACTTCTCTAGTCATTCTCCTTCCAGAAGTTGCTCTTCGTTGTGTCGAATATAGCAAAGTAACTTTTACTCCATTTTCTTCTTTTATCTCTCCAAACATTTCTAAGCAAATCTTGAATGTCCTCTACATATTATTCCAATAAGTTTGTTTCATGTTCTTTCAGGAGATCTAACTCCTTCCTATAACGAAACTAGCTTAGCGCAACAAATTAACATATAGCAGAAATAAAATCCAGCTAATGCTAATAGTTATTCAGTGACCAGTCTATTTTTTGTATTTTTTCTTCTAATAATACTCATGTAATACACTTTTAAGTTTTTTTGATTCACTGAATAACTATTTTCTGCTATAGCTAATGTATAGCTAGACATGTATCAAACGAAAACCAAAAATAACTCTCAAATTTCCCAGTTTGAGTTAGCAATTCTGATTTTTTGTATTGAGCTTCGAAATGAGCCTAGCAGTTTGCCCATTTAAGCAACCAAGCAACTAATTGTTATGCAGCAATATTTGTACACGATTCTTTGTGAATCGTGTACAAATATTGCTGCAAGAAAACTATGAGTAAAACCTGATATTATTGTTACAAACGGGCAGTATCGGAGTTGTCGATTCAGATTTAGTATTTATAGCTATCTGCACGATACCTTTCTTTGACACCATTCTTCTCTTTTTTGAACACTTCATAAATCCTTTCACCATATTCTTTTCTCATTCCAGCAATTTTATTTCTGTCACCGGTTTATTTCTTTTTTCTTCTTTGGTTTCTGATTTTCTTATCCATTTTTTTATATTCTTAAAATTCCAGATATTTCCTTAACTTTTTGTCAACACATTTTAGGATTGTTTTTTTTTAAGACGTAAAATAAAGTGAGGAAAAAATAAACAATACCCTTTGAAAAAAGATTTTTCAAAGATTCTTCAAAAGCTTATTGTCCTATGCAGGCTTTGAGCTCGCTCAATTCGTGAAACATCTTATCCCCTACACTATTCTAGTAATTTATCAAGGAGTATCATTCAAAGCTATGTAGTTAGCAATCAGTTACGAGTTTAAAAGTTATTTCCGCTACTGTTCGTTACTCAATTATAATTTCACATAATTTATTAGTTAAACGCAACTATAATAACAATGACAGTAAGAGTGATAATAATAATAGTAATGATAATAATAATAATAGCAATAGCAATAATAATAAATAATAATATCAAATAATATGAATAATAATAGTGATAATAATAAATAACTTTTTCACATTCTCTAAAATACAAAATGGAATATAAGAGATAACATTAATCCATATCATTCCATATTGTATCACTTGAATTTTCAAACACTTGAAATGAATTTTGGTTTGATTTCGCTCCATACCGAAAAATTCGTCGACATTTGAGGGACTGTAGTCGAATTGAATCAATTCGTGATAAAGGGGAAACAGTTAAAAGCAAACCACTACGACGCAAACGTTCATGCATAGCTCGATAATTTGCATTTGGTGACTATAAATTTAAATGAAATTTCATTTAAATATCCTTAAGTATCTTCATTTTAACTTAACTAAAATAGAAAAAAAATATATTTGGTCAGCAAAGAAACTTACAAATATTCTTAAATCAGAACTGTAAAGCAATAAGTAACCTATTCATTCTTCGTATAAAGAACCTTCTCACCTATTGTTTTAACAAATACAGAAAGTCAGAAAGTCTCACTTCCTCATTATACTCCTGCTTGAACCGCTTATAATGTTCATAAACGATAATTGACATACACATTATTTTCAATTGCGACAAATTCATTTCGTGTGCAAATACCAGGAAATGAACAGTCTTATCCAAGATTAAAGAATTCTAAAACTATCGTGAAAAGCAATGCTTATGATTGTAACTGGTATTTAGCTATAAAAACTTAGCTTTTGAATAACTAACATATTCAGACCATGAGAATTCATTAAAGCAATTAATTTTCATACATCATTTTCAACATTTCATAATATTTGCTAAAAGAAAAAAAAACAAAAATCTCACCTTCAATAATAGTTTACAAAGGGCACGATGAATAGTATTTCTCAGGGCATCACGATTCAAGGGTTTGAAATGCATTGCTATGTCAATTAGCTCTCTAGCCAATTCCGGTGTCAAATTGTCTGGCATTTCAAATGTGCCCGTAATCATAAATACCAACACCTTAAAATAGAACATTTTTTTTCATGATATCCATTATACAGACATTTTTAGATTGGAGATAATTTTTACTATGACATTATCTCTTTTAATGAGGCAATAATTTTTAATTTTAGTTTTTTATAGTAAAGTCGCTAAATGTTAAATATACCTTGCGAACAGATTCCAGATTGTAATCGGGTACTGACTGTTCTTTGGTCATTAATCCTTCATCATTTGCAGTGAACAGAAAGCGAAAGTAATCAGAGCTTAGGAATAATGCAGTTTTCGATATTTTGAGATCACCATCCCGACAATGTATGGTAAAATCGCTAAAAAGAGATATATACTCATTAAAATATGATTCTGAAAAAAATTTTCAATTTTCACCTTACCATATTTTTTTGAATAAGAGGCATCATAATTTTAGGCGTTATTTTTACATTCATTATCGATCCTATTTAAGCATCTATATAGCCAATAAATTAATTATTGCGTCCATTAATCATACTTTCTTATCAATACTAAAGGGAAAACGAAAACATCTTACGCGCTCTCATCGTTGAGAACTTTGAAGCGAAAATCGTTGGTAGTGTCGGCAGGTGCTGCTGGAACCATACTCATCCAATTACTAAAGCCCAAATTAAAAGACTCTGTACTGAAGAGAAGATCAACTGTAATTAAAATTGTTTTCCCTGAAATAATCACACTAATATAGATGGAGATTAAAATAAGGAAAATTATTTCTCGGAGAAATTTCCAAAAAATGGTCCAGAGAACTCGTTAGTATAGGTATAAAAAAAAGCTAAACCTTTGTGAGTTCCATACATTCCTGACTTATTTCGTATGAACTAGTTCATAAAAAGATTTTTATTGATAACATATACCGTTATTAGATTGATTCGTAAAACACTGTGTCAATAAATCGACAAACTGTGAATCTCTAGGCACTCGAAAGCTATCCATTGATGAAAATGTTGTCACAGAACGTATAGCAATTACAGTTCCTACAGGAAAATGAAAGAAAATATAATAAAGCAATTGGCAAAATCAAATTTCAAATATTTTTTATGGTGTTCGGTTGTCCTCAGAAACTCACACTTCTATTTCAAATCTGAATTTGCAATTAATAAGAACATCTGAAGATAAAGTAGCTGCTTATATAATCCACATGAATTGGTAAATATAGAAACCACTGGTATTTAATTCAATAGAACTACTTTATTCCTATCTTAATTAAAATAAAATAAAGCAAAAATATAAAGATGGAAAAGAATGAAAAAGTCCATGCATAAATCTCGAAAATTCAATATGCTGTAGAACAAACCGTGGTAATTACCATCCTCCAGGAGTCTAAACGAAAACTTGCATTCCTTAGGAGACGGATGTGTCGTTACCACCCTACTTTGCTCCAAATATAGGTGTATCCTAGGTCTCGATGGTACACCAAAGTTGGTTCTGTACAAATGTACCATCCTGGAAAGAACTTCATACATCGTAAGATACCACAAGTAAGATCATGAAGAGTTACTCCGAAAATAGAGGTACAACAAAATTGTCAAAATGAAACTCCCAAGAGCATTTGCAAGTAGCAACTTCGCCGTAATTATTTACAAAATACGAAGTTTTATACCACTCATGATTAGCAGTGCGATAATTGGTGCAGAACGTTTCAGTATCACCAAAAACATTGAAGCCATTAACTGGATGAAAAATCTGCACTGGCCAATCATAAATAAATGTTATTTCTGTCGGGTCCTCATTATAAACTTTCATAAGAGATTTCATTTCGCAGAACAGACCCACTCAACCAGCCTAAAAATGTGAGCTAAACTACAAGACACGTATTGCCTATCTGTTTAATACTTTAAACGCAATCTTCATTTCCTGCATTTATTCAAATTTGAGAAGTATGAAACTTCTGCAATATTCAAGTCAAGCAGATGTATCAAGCATCAGTCGCTGATAAAATCCTTATATTCTTTTTGAATCTGGTAGCACTAAAAGATACACGACAAAAATGTAAAATATAGCCCAGTTCAAGAAATTCCAACTTTTGCCTGAAAATCGATCGCTTCCTTCTAAGGAAAATCCCACATGCCTAAATACCATTGAGTGGTATACAAGCATATTTGCTACCACAAACTATTTTTCGACCTTCGCCAAGAAAACTAAGAGTGGCATTTAGGCTTTTCAAGTCAAAGAAATAAATATAGAAAGAGAAATTTTGTTTAGCACTGAAACAAGTACGTCCAAGTAATTTTTTGCTATTCCAAAATGCAAAGAATTTTAATTTTCTCACATATCTCCAGGAAGACAGTCTTCTCAGCTGTAAAATTTAAAACTTCAGTGTGATTTACATGTCAGTTAATAAACTCTGAATTAAATGTAAATCATCAACCTTTAGCAACTTTAATTCCGATAGACAGAACACAAAAGCACACTAAACCCTGAGTTGCTTAATTTTTATAGTCTGGCTTGAATCAAGCAATGTGAACCAAGAAAAATTGAAACTTTTCTGCATTTATTACAGCCTAAAAGAAAGTAAAAAATTGCCATTAAAGATTGAATCAGTGAAAAGATGCATAAGTATCAAAGTAGAATGTGAAACAATCTCTAAATATGATAAAGGGCTAAAGAATAGGTGAGCAAATTAAAACTTTGTTTATTCAAAAAGGTTCTCTTAATAATTATTTCTATGACAAAGTTGTAAGGCGACATGAAAGAGATTCATAGAGTCATATACTTTGATTGCTAACATCGGTTGGTAATTTTCAAGAATAATTGACTCGTAAATGAAATTATGTATTGTTTTAATGTTTCCAACGAAGCGGATAATAAGAAACTGTCGCGGCTGATATTTGAGCTATAAAAAATGCTACTGAAAATTTTAATCCAAATGAGATATACATGAAAAAAAAAGTCATAATCAATCTGTTCTTTCACATACACATGAGCTGATATAAGTGACCAGGCTGAATAAAAAATTCGTTAAAAATTTCGAAATCTTTTAGATCAGTCCGAAAGAAAACAACAAAAGATCGTACCTTAAGACCATAAACATATGTTATCATATGCGTCAGGAATTCATAGCGAGCTAAATTAAATTAAAAGGTAATCCCAAACCTATAAATAAAAACTCAAAATTAGTGAACGACTGAAGAAACCAAAAAAAAGAAAAATTATAAACTAGCATCAAAACTAAACCCAGTTGATATAATTGACACGAAAGCTCATCACTGCGAACCGCGAATTAAGCAAGTATATGACAAGGTGGCAAAGTCATCAGTTTTAAATCTAAAGCCGGTTAGATAAACTTCGAATCCAAAGCATGTTTTGCATTAAAAAAATTGTAAATGAATTTTACAGTTTTAAACGAATTTTTAAAGGAAAAAATAAATCAAATAACATTCCATGCATTGAGTATACAACGATTATGCGGTTCATTTTTCATCAGATCAATGATTTCGGATAATTGGTCTATGCCTTGGTTGATGTAATCAGCATCCATGCCTCGATACTCAGCAACCACAGTATTGCCACTATAAATTACATTATTGCCTCAACATTGCTAAAAATTATCAAAAATGATAATAAAATAAACTGATAAAATAAATTCGAAGGACAGTGCATAGCGAATGCCATCTATGAACAATAAATATTAATTTATTGTCAAATATTAATTTGATTGGCACAGAAACCAAGTTTCACCTGAAAGCCATAAACAGGTCTCAAATCTCCTTCAGATCGATCACTGAAATTATACTCATCTAGAAACTGCATTGACAAATCTTTCTCAGACAAATGTTTTGCATTTGTCGAATGAACCAAAGCAGTTCTTCAACAAAGCTTTTCCGGTAGACTCGTTTGGTTGTCAATACCGGAACAACACCTATAAAATCTCTACACGAGTTAATATTTCAACAAACAAGGTCCCATTAGAAAACAAATGATGGGGCGAAGAAACCCTACAAAATCTTATACAAATCTTTTCTTAGCAATGATATACTTGGTCTTAGTATAAAAAAATTTCTTACCATTTCGAAGCGAATAAACAGAATGCATTCCAAACACTGGAATTGTCCACTGAGATCATCGATTCTTTCGCCATTCATCAAAATGTGTCTAACCTGATCCAAATATTTATTTTCATCCTCATTCTCTAATGCACTAGCATCGCCCACAACATTACCGTGAGCTCCTGAAGACTTCATTTCTGAACCTTAAACCAACGACAACCACCAGATGAACCCGAAACAACTGAAAGATTTAAAATGTAGCGCTAAAACATTTGATACAGCCATTTCTGCCGCGATATGCAGCCATTTTGTCTCATCGACAAGATTTTCGTTTCCATCACATGAAAAACTCACCTATTAAAAGTAAGGATGAGGAAGAGAATGAGATAAGATGTTTACCTTAATAACTATATTCGATAGAGGAGAAAAGGAGAACTTCTCAGCTGACAACTTTGGGCATCTCCCATTCATAATATGGTTGGTAATCGACTACAAAGAAAAGGAACTGCATATGAAGCAAGTAGTATAAAAATAAATTTATCCATTCATTTTTCAGTGAAATAATGGGCTTTAGCTACAATACTAATCTGCAATACTCTCATCGGTCTGAAATTTATTTTTGAGACAGTTATATTGCTAATACTCCAAGGATCGATGACATAAAAAACTTTGATGAAAGGATGAAAAATATCAACTGAATAGCTCTGAAATTCTATCACTCCATAATTACTTGTTTCCAAGAACAAGTTTTTGATCCTTAACCATCCTTAATGATTAAATCCCCGTATTCATCTTTCAAGGATAGACACTTTTAGCTTTTATGATTAATATAATAAATAACTCATTTCGAAACGAAGATTTTGCTCAAAGAAACTTTTCTGCTTATCAGTATGGGCTGAAAATTGAGGAGCTTTCATTTTCTTAATCCAAATTGTTATCAGTTTGGTGGAACTGCGCAGTGAGAATTGTGTTGTTAGCAAATTGATTGTTTTTGAAAATTAATATCATTTATTTCAGCAGTAAGTTTAATTTCAGATTGAATGCTGTTTAGGTTGGTAGTGGATCATAGCTTTTATCGTATCTATATATCATATCAGTCAAAGGCATTTCGCAATAAAAATGAAATGAATTCCAGGAAAAGATATCATTAGAATCAAATAATAGGTAAAGGAATAACAATTCCCAATAAAAAGTTTTTATGGATTTAGAATTTTTCATTCATTGTGAAATTCCTCTTTGCGAAGAGCTGCTTGGGTGAAAACTTCAAATGAGAGAAATAATTCACAACATTCATTATTATTATCTTGATTTTGTCGGTATAATGTTTACTTTTATGTTTCTTATTTTTTTTGAGAGTTCAAAATCAAGTAAAATGTTAAATGCATACTTATTGTATTCTTCGATGAAGAAGACACTGCCGCCAGCTTTCCACGGTTTTTTTGATCATCAAAAAAATGTTACGTGAAGACAATGGAAGATTCTTTTATTAGAAAGCAACTACTTTTTCCACTGCTGAAAATGCAAAATCCATCGGACTGGTTAAAATTTTCACCATTTCGAGTTTCCTCGTCCTTTGAAAACGTTTATGACAGTGTTTTTGATATAAATTGAATCTGAACCTTGCTTCACATTTAATTGAACTGCATTTTAAAAATATTAGGAATAGAAATTACAGACGAGTACCGAAATGTCTGGATGCAAAAGATGGTATTGTAAAAGCAATGATGATGATGATGTCGTGGAAAGTTGTCGTCAGATACTCGAATATTTGTGATACAGCAGTGAGAAAATCTTTATTTTTATTATTAGTAATCTGAGCAGTAGAAATAGACTTTGTAAAATCGGAGGAAATTTAGTTTCATTATGAGGGCTTATAGTCGACAACAATTTTTTGTTTATCAGGATTGAATTTATATGAGTGAGGATTGGGCGTGTCGAAGATGAAATCACATATGTGAGGAATTGGAGTTGTTTACAATAAGATCATATATGTGAAGGTGTATATGGTGGATTCATATATGTGAGGAATTGGAAGTGTTCCCATTATGATCATATAAAGAAGAGATTATGATGAGAGCTAATTTCACATCAAATTACATGAGTAGTAAATTTTAAGAAGCCAAATATATGCAGAGATGGTTTATGATACAGTAAGACTGTTTACAATTTAAAAATGGTTAATTAGTTTTATTAGTTTTTCTTTAAATTCGCGACATTTGTATTCGTCGGGTATAATGCATACATGAATGCGAATCGCGTTTGCATATATCTAAATACCATACATCCATGGATTGTTATTTATCGTTGCATTCGTCTGATATTAGAATTCCATGAATTGTGAATCACAGTTATATATGTCCGAGTATTATACATTCATGAATTGTGAATAACGTTTGTATGTATCTGAATACCATATATCATGGATTGTTAATCACAGTTGTAATCGTCTAGGTATCATACACCCATGAATTGAGAATTACAATTGTATATGTCTAAGTATCAAATATTCATGAATTGTGAAGACGGTTGTATATGTTTGAGTATCACACGTCCATTAGTTGTTAATTACAATTGTATATGTCAGAGTATCATGTATCCGTTAATTGTGATTCCAATTGATACCTTTTTAAACTTATTTGTTTCCGTTTGATCTCGTTCGGGAATCTTAGAATTCAATTCTTTGTTTTCTAATATTCATTGAGGCATCGTTAAAGATGTTTTTCATTTCTTGATATTTGTGTAAAGCTTCATCGATACACATGGTTAGTACTATAATGTTGTCGACATAAAGATTTTTCTCGCTAATGAGATTAGGAAAAATCCTAATCTCATTCGCGAGTTCATTATCGTAATTTTCCAAATGATAAGTGTAGCCGATAATAAAAATGGTAAAAATATTACTTCAAATGGGATTCGTTTAAATCGATAATGCTGGCACATCTCTCGACATATCTTCTCGATTATGCCAGATTGTAACTGATCACAAATCGTTTCGTCATATTTGAGAAATAAACGTTCATCGTTTTAAAATCGTTTATTTAAAGCTCCTAAGCGACCAAAACACAATCCGAAATTGTTGTTTAATTCGATTCTGGATTCTTTCCATGGCCAAACACTTGGTATCTGCCATTATATTTTTTAATATTTTATTTGAACTTTTCTAAAACTTGTTCGTCATCCTGTAAATTAGGTATTCTTGTATTCCTATGAATTCCAATTTCCAGAATCGATTAATCTCTGGAATGTCACTATTAATAGTTTTGTGGTGGTGGTTTGATCTTTATTCTGAACGGAGTAACATGTGCTCTGTGTTACTATCTTGTTGATCACGCTGACGCTAACGCTGACGATCATTGTGCATATATCATGTATTCACTTCCAGCAATCATAGGGCCGACTATTGTGTTGATTGAAGAAAACCCTGAATTTATAGTTTGCGCTTACTCAAAAGAGATAAACTTGAAGAAATAGTCAACTCCGATAATTAGATCAGCCGTTTTCAACTGCTAATTTCCTCTGTTAATGGGAACAGAGTCGAAATATCTGATGTAATTTTCTTCTATCGTTTTTATTCCAATTACACTTTAGCAAAAAGTTCACCATAATACTATATTATGCTTAGTGCAGCATAATATAGTATTATGGTGAACTTTGCAATAAAGTTGATTGTCGTATGTCCTGGCTGAAGACAATTTAGACAGGCGTTGTTTTCTTTCAGTCGTTGTATTCTTCGTTCTAGATTAGGATAAGTTTGACATTCATTATCTCAGTGCAAAAAGCATATGGTCTTTGAGTTTTGCTAATTTTTTTCTATGTATTTGCGGTGTTATTAACAGTTAGAGCCAAAGTTTATTCTGTAAAATATCGATGATTAGTTCGTGGACCAATTTTATTTTTAGATTCTCTTTGCTCTTTCATGATGTCAAAGAATTGGCTTCTTATAACTTCTCCGTTTCTTTGGATCAGTTTTGCTAAGAATTGTCTTAGCTTAGCTACTGACCATATTTTTTTCCTTTTGTTGATGCACTCAATCCAGAATCCAGGCAGGCAGTTTATTTTCAATAATAATTTTAATACTGGATTGTTCGAGATTTTCACCCATTGCTTCAAGTTGTTATTCTTTCAGTAGCTTCGACTATTATCTTCTATTGTCGATTATTCTTCTTGACGGAATATAACTCATTGTAGAGCGATTTTTTAATGATATGTGATTGCCCAAATTTTTCAATGAGGAATTTTCGTATCACATCGTAATTTTCTGATGTTATATCATAACCTCTAACAGCCAATAAGGCATCTCCCTTCAGACATACAATTAAATAATTTAATTTTTGGATGTTTGGTATTTTTTGTAAATGGACTGCAGCTTCAAAGCGCTCCAGAATCCTCTCCACTCATTTTAGCATTACCACTGAAGGTAACAGTTGGGTAAGAGCCTATTTGACTGGATTACTAACTCTGAGTCATTCATATACATACTTAAGGTTATGATGATTTCTTTGCCTTCACTTATTAAGTTCAAAATACCTCTTTTATCTTCGACCATTTTGACGTATTTGTCTTCCTCTTGTTTTCTATTCGCTGTTTGAAACCTGTTGTATGTATTGGATCCAGTTAATATTAATTGTCTCAAATGTGTCAATATGCAACTTGAGATGCATTATTTTTTTTTCAATGAATCTTGTTGACAGGTTTCTTCTCGGTCAACATTTGCTCCGAAAGCGTAAGATCCATTTCTTGGACTTCTTTGAGAAAAGCTTCCAATTTTTCTTCTGTCAGTCGTGGTGAAGAGTACTACAGTTGCGGACATTTCTGGCTCGTGACACCAAAAATTTTGTCGTGGAAGATTTAACTGTTTAATTATTAATTTTGGGAGAGGTTTTTGATCGCAGGGAGGTTGATTAAATGTAGATGTAAATGCATGGAGTAACAGAGAAATAAACCAATTTCTTTATTAACAGAAGTAATAAGACAATAAGTTGATAGAGAACAATTGAAATTGAAATCGTCTGGTTCTTGGCAACAAATTACACATATATTAAAATGTTTTAACTAAGGGTGACCCTTATATAGCAATTATATCTTACATTACATTATTAAGATGTAGGAGTGGTTTATAATTAGACAATTTTGTACAAAGGATAAATTGTCTAGACATGATAGTAAATTAAGTTAACTACAATCGGTATTACAATGAATTGAAAGGATATAACAAAAGAAAGTACAGTGGGTTTTCTAGACATTATGATAAGTGGCTACTATAATGAGTTGCAATAGACATACATGATCGATGCTTATAATATATAAAATGATATAAGATCAAAAGTCAGTTAAACCATTACGATGAATTGTAAAAGGCATCAATGGATTACTATATTAAGCATTGTTAACATTTAATGTTAAAATTTGCGACGGTGTCATACAATTAGCATTATGCTTCAATTCATCACTAATTCGTTCAATTAATTCTCTTGTGCTTATTTTGATGAATATATGTATTTATTTAAATTTTATCATCCTCTAAATCATCTGCCGTTGGTACAAGCTTTTCCTTTCGTTGTTGTTCACATTCGCTTGGCTTAAGTTGTAGAAATGATAATTCCAAATGGCTATCTATCTGTAACCATAAATAATAATGTTTTGCGTTTGTTTTCTTCAGAATTTTCAAATGCTTTCCTTTGCTTTCCTGATGAAAACACCTATATTTGAAATTACTACATTTTCTACTAAAAATTTTTGTTTTCTTTTTCTTTTTTTTTGCGACCTATATTTCAAACTTGTAAGCCATATTTCAGCATAAATCTATAATTACGATAATAATAATAATATTATTATTATATGCTTAAATATATTTAAAGCATTTCATTAATGTTTGTTATAATTCAATCAATTAAGAAATGTTTAACATTAATAGCACCAATAATAATAATAAATAAAAACAACAACAAAAACATTCATTATGAAATTAAAAAAATTAATTCCCGGACTTTAGTGAAAATTATCTAATTGCTATGTGAAAATAGTTTTAATTAACTAACAACGACAACAGCACCAAAATTACAAAGATCTTCGTGATATCGTGCAGCTGAGAAGACAGTTATAAGTTTACGATTCGCAAAAAATGCATAACCAAATTCGACAACCTGTCAGATAGCAATTAATTAATTAATGATTGTACAAATAGAAGTCTGATCTAAACATTTTCATCTACAGTATTTCATAATTATTTTAATCGCATTAAATAGTAGCTGAATTGATGCTTTAAAATTTCAATGAAGCAAAGAAAAATAGAGTATAAAAAATCTCATTTAAAATAAAAATGCTATCACAATTTTGATGCAATCAAATTAGTCAAAGCATAATTGTTTTGAAAATATTCTTTATAAACTATTCGTTTATTTTAGGGAATAACAAATTTATCCTAAAATAACCAATAAACATTCTGAATATATGAAATTTATTAAGACAAAAAAAAACGAAATAAACTGGTAAAAGAAAAAAGTACTTTCTAGCACTTAACGATATTTCCTATTACCTCCTCATCTCTTGTTCCTCAAATTTCAATCATTTGTGTCCAAACTTGTAAGTTTTTATAGTTTCCACTAAAATTTATTTCCGTGATGTAATCCGAAAGCTTTGACGACTATTGCCGAAATACACAAATTTCAATGAACCAACAAACTTCGATTCCATATTAGTTAATAAAAATAATCATTTGAAATCATTTAAAAAACAATGATTTCATTTAAATAATGAATAAATAATGAATTCATATCAGAATTCGGAAATAATTATAATTAGATTTACGAATCATGGCGATACTATCCCTATAGAAGTAAATAAGAGTTGAATGGAACAATTCTGATCGTTAATAGTGTTGAATGAAACTATTGAATTGATAGTTAGTTCAAGAGAGAAAGAAAAAATCAGTGCAAATCATCCGAAGCAAAAAGTATACGAAAAGATATTTCATTGAACGACTAAAATATTTTTTACATGTTAACTTACGAAATCATTTAATTATTAAAACATATGAACACTTGCTTCAGCTAATTTTTCATTAATTGAATTTATTAATCGTTTAATGCCTTATCATTTCACCTTTTCATTTTATCATTTTGCTATAGATATGGAAACAAATAAACCTCGTATATTTGCTGGATGAAAGATACATGGACGATGCACTTGAATAGGAATGTGCTTTGAGCTTTGAGTTCAGTGCGGAAAATAAACGCCTCTTTGTGGATGATGCAAAGTTTGCTGGGATTGATGAAACTGCAATTTTTTTTTTTTTTTCTATGGCAATTGCAAGATTTTTTCTCTTTAGTAAAGTCCGTGATAATTTCTTTCAAATTCTTAAGATTCATTGGAAGATATTTTTAAATTAACTTCAAAGTAGTTGAAGGTTGTGAAATATTTTGATATTTGATATTACGAGACTCTTTATAAATATGCTGTAGAGTATAACGTGCACTTCTGCTATGAAAATGAATGATATATAATAAGCTGAACAATTCTTATAAGTTCCAAAAATAAGCGGTAAAACTTTTTTTTGACTATTAAATTAATAGTTCTGCAATAATGCCAAACATCAAAATATAAACTGATTGGTTTAAAGTTTAAATTAATAATTTGTAAAAATTTTGTAAAAAAACAATATGCATTTACTGCAAATGTTTATATGTTATTCTGATTTAGCAAAGAAAATAGAAGTAATTTTTTTTAATATCAAATAATATTGATTAAATAATGTTTATAAGCCCAATACGTTACTTATGTCGCGTACCAAATAATCCTGAGGTGGGTGCCCACTAGTACAACAGTTCAGTGGTGATATATTTCTTTAATCGGAAGTACGTTTATTATTCAATTATTTCTTTTTCCAGTCTAGCGAATAACATAAATTTGTTTTAGTTAGCGCTGCTTCGTAAACGAATTTGAATCAAATAGTATTTCATTTAATGATATATTTCATTTAAAAGGAAAAAAAAAAACATCAAGAAAAGAGCAAGGACGATATCATTCAATGATTTTCAATCAATTAGAATGTGGAGATGTCGTGTTTCAAACATTGTTTTTGAGTTAAAAAGTTAAAAAAATTATCCAGTTTATTATTTTTTGTTTACATTTTTATTTTGATCTTATGTTAATATATTCGAAACCTTATATTTTCAACAGATGATGCATTAAATTTCTCCTCTCCATTCTCCATTTTCTTTTTTCATCTCTCATACAATCAAATGAGATTCGTTGCATCTCGTGTAACATTTACTGTATTGATTGGTTGTATTATGTGATAAAACTTCTGCCCAAAGTGATTAGAAATATATTTTAAGATTCGTGAAAATAAAAAATTTTATATCCTTTTCAATAGCTGAAGATAATGTAATGAGGTCATTATTTTATTACTTTTATGTTCTATGTCCCATATGTTTTATATTAAATTTGTCATAGTTTGAAAATATTTTAGTTATATTTGTAGGAAAAGATGAATTCTCTATTTCAGGTGACGAGCTTATTTTTGTTCTCCTTCAAAGAAAGTTTCACGGATCGGCGGACAGTCTTATCGTTTTTGAGCATATTTCGCTTGACGCTCATTTCTTTAGTCACTTAAATTCCGTATTTATTATTCAGCCGTATTGTGCGGACAGTGATTTATTGCTGCTATTCTGTTTACTGCTAGCTGCTAGAGGTATTCAAGTCACAACACACACCTATCGAAATGGCTGAAAATAAGGATGAACTCGTTCAACGCGCTAAACTCGCCGAGCAGGTTAGTTTTTATAGTAGTGATTTCTGGCCGAAAGTGTTTTATCTGCTCCATCTATGAGATCTATTTGCTGATGAAAATAGAAAAAGCAGAAAAAGCAGTTCGGTGGTTAAATCAGTGCGATGGTTTCTAGAATTTTGCACTAGTGAAGGATTTAAAAGCGTTAAGAAGCAGTTTATGACATCTATGGTAAACTATAATACTATTTGTTTTTGAGGCTGAACGATACGACGACATGGCTCAGTCAATGAAGCGAGTCACCGAATTGGGTACAGAACTTACTAATGAGGAGCGTAATTTGCTCTCCGTCGCCTACAAAGTTAGCATATTTAGTCACTTTGTTTGTATTTCCTTCAAACATTTATGCAAGTGCGATGTTTTAGTATTATATTAAGTTTGGTATTAGGATGGATTTTTTTAAACTGTACTGAAGTGTTTTGGTCATTCCGTTGCGGCAAAAGAAGAAGCGTGGGGTTAAAGAAAAATGGGAGATGGGATTCAAAATGAAGAAATAATTTGGGAAGGTAAAGAGAGGAGGAAGGAGCAGAGTAAGAAGGGAAAGAGGACAGAAGCAGATAACCGTATTAGATAATGGAGAACCTCCCTAACAATTTGGCGGATAGTTGAGTGAATTAAATGGCTTATCAGTCATTATAGTAGTTGCTCAGCTAAATTCGTGTAGCATTTTTCTAATCCTTTTTCGTCTCCTTCTGGGCCTCAGAGAATTGTGTTTGTTGCTTGTTGCTTGTGATTGCTGTGCGTTGCGCTGTATAGTAACGGTAGGGATTGTCATTTGATTCCTCTGCAGGGGGAAGTAAGAGATTGCTATCCAGAGATATGATGCAATTAGGAAGTTTCAGACGAATTTTCTGATTTGATTGTAAATAGCAGTCGTAACCAATAAATATTCGAATTAACTTTCAAGTCACTTCTAGTAAAATTGTTGTACGTTGTGTAAAGATACTTCTGGAAGAAGTAGCTTAATGTGAAGGAAGTAAAAAACAGTAAACTTTTCAGAATGCAGTCGGAGCACGACGTTTGTCATGGCGGGTGCTATCATCGATTGAGCAGAAGACCGAAGGTTTGGAGAAACAACAGATGGTAAAAGAATATCGCGAAAAAGTTGAGAAGGAATTGCGAGATATTTGTCAGGATGTTCTGGTAAGCATTCATTTAAACTACCTTTTGGCATGTTATGTTGAGGTAAATTAAAATAGAAATTCGCATATTTTATTGGATTTGTGTGCAACTGTAAATTTTCGATTATCAATAAAAACATTAACATAAAGTTAAACAGGTTAATTTTAATCCTGAAAAATTTCTATTCCAGAATCTCTTGGATAAATGCCTCATACCGAAAGCAGGTAACCCTGAGTCGAAGGTGTTCTACTTGAAAATGAAAGGTGACTACTACCGATATCTGGCCGAAGTTGCAAGTGGAGATGATCGCGAAAGTAGGCATATTTGTATTTATTTAATTTAATATTTTTTTGAATTATTAGTTTAAATGCAGAACAGTACGAGAACAAAATTGTTTACATGGAAGGTTTGCAGTGATCAGATTTATCTAATCGAGTATAGAGCCTAACATGTAATTGGTCGATAAAAGACCGGCAAATTGGTTGCGCCATAACGGTGCGCCGTGCTGGATCAAACATTTTTGTCCCAGCAGCAGTCGTAACTATAATTTCAACGCTTTATTTCGTGACCTCAGAAAGTTATTTGGAACCATCGCATTCGTTGCTATGCTGACGAACAGGAGTTGAATTTGAGTTTGTTGCTGCTGACCTGGTCTCTGTTCTATTTAGTGGTAGTGGCGAGGTCAGAGCAGTCCTACCGCGAAGCATTCGATATCGCAAATGACACAATGCATCCCACACATCCGATCCGACTTGGGCTTGCACTCAATTTTTCGGTATTCTACTACGAGATACTGAATGCATCAGAAAAGGCTTGTCGACTTGCTAAACAGGTGCGTGAAGAAGGGTTCATTTTATATTATTACCACTCGAATGGTTGGTTTATGTTTGTTTCAGCGGTGGCGGATGCGGGTCAGAAAGCCTACTCGGAGGCACTTGAGATTGCCAAGGCACAACTTTCGACTACCCATCCAGTTCGTTTGGGCCTCGCTCTAAATTATAGTGTCTTCTTCTACGAGATTTCATCGAGCCCCGATCGTGCATGTCAACTCGCAAAACAGGTGGGCAGGATCCTATAAAGTGCCGGTTGCCGAAACATTCAGATTTATTGTTCGGCCGACATTTGATAAATACATATTGCTGCTGCCATCTGAAGTTTTCTTTACTGTCCTTACATTTAGATTATACTGATGATATTCCATTACCTTTATATGCAGAAAATTGAGGGTTATAAAGTGGAATTTTTCGGTGGAACAATGTTTTATACAATATTGTTACGGTCTGAAATGCTTCTACTGACTTAGATGGATACTAACTGATTAGCAATACTGCGTCAACAATTCTTCAATTTTCTTTGAGAAAATGGAAACTGAATCTTGTTTCTTCAGGAATTTCAATTTTGCACTTAGTTTGGGTTTTGGACAGGCGATTCGTTAATTTGCTCGTAGATCTCCGAAATTCATAGTTCTGGGTAGCGCGGAGAAATTGAAGTGTTGAGGGCCTCAAAACACGTAGAATAATCGCTTTTGCTTCAAAAAATGCAAATAAATGAACATCAAGTTACAGTAGATTTTTGGTCTTCACTAAAATTTATCTGCATATGCACTTTCAAATCGACACGGATCTAAGGTAGTTTATGGCAATTAAGCTGGAGACATTTTGATGCTCCACTTCTTTTATTAGAAGGAATGACAATTATGCGCTTCAACTTTAGAAATGATTGGAACTGGAAAACCAGAAGGGGCAATTTTAACGTCTAGAAAAATAATGGCATAAATTAAATT